TGAAAACTTAATATTTGATTAGTGGAGTCTTTTAACACCCGACATTTTCCATTGTCGTAGTTGTTTGGCAGGCGACGTCCTAGGTCATACAGTTCTGCCAGGGTACGCCAAACTGCGGCTTCTCTATTCAGTACATTTTTTTCTTCCTAGCTGTAAGAATCTTATTCCTTTTTGTCTTCTTCTTTTCTTTTCGTATAGAATAGATAGACATTGAATATATTTCCACTTTTCTTCCTCATCATTACTTCCAGTTTTAGTTCAGTATTTGCTACCTTTCACTAGTATTTTTTAAAGTTTCCTTAACTACTAAGCAACTGCATTTTTTTATCGTGTCATTTCATGACCGCCTTTCTCGACTTCTACAGGTCAGATTTTCCTCATTTCTCTATTTTTTCAAGTAGTTTCAATGTAGACTGCACTGAACGGAAAAAAAAGAAGGAAGACAGACATTCAACAAAGTTATTGCAGTAAAACTTAAAAAGTATGTGTGATAAATTCTGTTTACTCTCACACACCTTAACAAACAATACACAAAAGCTGCAATACCATTTACATAAGTCACGTAGAAGTTTAGCCTACTTTTGCGGAGTTCATTCAGATCATTTTCAGACGCCTCCAAATTACACAGTGACATTGCGCCAAAGCCACTGAAATTTAGCCATAATAAATGATATTTTGCTAGCAAAAAATTTCACACCAGACTGGAGTTGAAGGTGCATATCAACTCATTTCATCAGTGTATATCAACACATTTTATCGTTATAATACATCATTCATTCCAGATTTTTGAAAAGATAAGACGTGCTTAGGACATAAAACATGACCCAATAAGCGAGAGGAAAAAGCGTAAAAAAAAAAAAACAAAAACGGTTCTGTCTCAAAAGTTCTTGTCTGTTGAGGTTTAAGTAGTAAGTCTTTATAAAGAATAAAGTTTACGTCAAAACTAGTTAATTTTTAGCAGAACTGTTCTTCTTTTCTCTATTTAATTTCCTTCTTCATAAGAATATTTCGCGATTGGACTGGTAAAAGTAAGCTTCTATGGAGAAACTTTGAAGAATTTTGGTAGAATTGTCTAGTTACCTCAATGAGCAGCTGGAGGTACAGAAGCGCTCGAAAGATGCATGTGCTTCAAACGCTTTATTCGCTTTGCTGTCCAACAACTTTAAAAGCTTAAGGTTTTGAAAAATGTTTGCAGAACAAGTATTACTTAATATATCTATTAATGATTTTCGTTTCAGCCAGTAAATTGGTGCTTCTTGCAATCCTGAATCTTTCTTGTAAAATATAGACAGCCTTGAGCTTCACCTTTTTTACTCTTGGGCACATGCATTCATACTTTATTTACTCTGAAAAAAACCCAGTAGTTTTTTTTAAAAACGAGGCATTAGCTCAGAAGAAATTCCGCATTATGTTGGTAAAATAACCTTTATTTCATAATTTTTTCTGTAAACCGAAAATCAAAACACGAACAACTTTCAATTAGTTTTATATAAACACTTTCTCAACAACTAAAATGAATTTTTTTGTACAGCGTATTACTAAAATCGCAACGCACCTGTTGATGTAGTTTTTGCATTGCTTAAAATAACCATTCTAAATCTTTTGCACTGTTTGAAAGCACAGTTTTTTCGTTAATTCTCTCTTTCAGTCTACTCCCTCGAATTTCTTAAATTTTTGAGCTGCGAAATAAATTTTGCTTTTGATTCGAACCTTTTGGAGGCATTAAAATTTTTTATCTACATTTTCGTTCTTTTACCTTGAATTATTTGGTCTTCTTGGCTTACTAGTTTTTTGGTTCTCAATTAAGCTTGTCTAGGCATTATCACCCAAAAAGCTTTATTATAGTTTCTGTTTATAAATCAGAAATTAAGAATAAAATTTGTATTTAAAGACTAAACATTAATAATAACTGCTGCTCTTCTAACGCCAAAGAGAACGGTTTACAGTCTTCTGCTGTGCTATTTGTCTAAGCATAATGCTCTTTAAAAGTGTCGGTATAATCTCTTTAAGAATTGTTTTGTGTAAGAAAGTTATTGGATAAAAATGAGAGGTATTTTTTACTAGCAGTAATTAAGCGGTATTTATTCTGAATTTGCTTAAGCATTCGATATAGCATTTTAGCGAAAAAGATTGATTTTTTATCGCCTTATTATGACGATACTACGTGATATTCAAACTTTGCTTATTTACATTCTTGCTACACCAGTAGAGATATGCCGTTTGGCACAATATGTCACTGTGGTGTAACGATTTTGCAGCACAAACGTGCCAAAACAATTTACTTGTAATTTTTTAGTGTCGTCTATAAACACTAACTTTCAAATTTTCTAATTTTTACTTATTTGAAAATCGATTTTTTGAAAGAAATTTGTAATTTTGTGTAGTGTACTGGACTGCAAATAAAATGATGTTTTATTAATCAAGTATTTCTTAGAACAATCAAAGCCTTTTCTGTTGGTTGAAGCTCTTTTATGACCACCTATTTTCAAAGGTGACGCTAAAATGGCATCTGGCACAACGGACCTTACCTATAGGTGTCTATTTTTAGACTGTCTTGTCAAAAATCTCAGCTTTCTTGACAATCCACACCACCTGTAGTTGAAGTTGGAAGAGGTTTCTTGCTTTGAAAAAAAAAAAAAA